ATAATGTGGTGGATCGCGCTGACTGATTTTCAAATGTTAAATAGCATTCCACACTTAAAAAAAAATCCCACTTGGTTGTGGGATGTAATTGTTTTTGTACATTATTGGATTCAAGTCACTAATCTTTTGAAGGTAATAGTTTAAAATATATTTGCATTTATGCACATGAAACATATGGGTCCATAGATTCCCTTCCTTAAAATGTCTTAACCTGGTTTTGGCATTAGTGTAATGCTAGCATCATATAATAAGTTAGGAAGAAATTTTTCTGCTTCTACTTTCTAGGTGCGATTGTAGAGAATTAGTAGGATTATTTTTTCTAAACGTTTGGTAATATTTAGCCCTGAAATCATCTGGACCTGATTTACTTTGCTTTCTTTTGGAAGGTTATTAATTATTAATTCAATTTCTTAAATAGATATAAGCCTATTTAAATGAATATTGTCAAATTTTGGTAGCTTGTATCTTTCAAGGAATTGGCCCATTTCATCTACGTTATCAAGTAACAAATAGGGTTGTTTACAACATTCCTTTATTATTCTTTTAATACTCATGAGATCAATAATGATGACCTCTCATGGATTTCTGATATTGATAATTTGTGTTCCCCCTCTTCCTCTCTTTTGGTTAGGCTGGCTGGAATTTTATAAATTTTAATGATCTTTTCAAAGAACCAGCTTTGGGTTTCATTTATTTTCTCAATTGTTTTTCTGTTTTTAATTCCAGTTACATCTGCTCTAAATGTTATTGTTTTCCTCTATTTGCGTTAGACTTACCTTGTTCTCTCTTTAGTTTCTTAATGTCAAAGTTACTCATTATAGGGTTTTCTTATTTATTTATTTATTTTTATTTTTGAGACGGAGTCTCACTCTTGTTGCCCAGGCTGGAGTGCAGTGGCACTATCTCAGCTCACCACAACCTCCGCCTCCCGGGTTCAAGCGATTCTCCTGTCTCAGCTTCCCGAGTAGCTGAGATTACAGGCATGCGCCACCGTGCCCGGCTAATTTTGTATTTTTAGTAGAGATGGGGTTTCTCCATGTTGGTCAGGCTGGTCTCGAACTCCCGACCTCAGGAGATCCGCCCCCCTCGGTCTCCCACAGTGCTGGGATTACAGGCGTCAGCCACCGCGCCTGGCTGGGTTTTCTTATTTTCTTACATACACATTTAGTGTCATAAATTTCCCTCTAAGCATTACTTTGCTGTTTCCCAAATATTTTGATAAATTATATTTTCATTTGCAACTAGTTCAAAATAGTTTTAATTTCTCTTGAGTTCTTTTGACCCTTGTGTTATTTAAAAGTATGCTGTTTTATATCCAAACATCTGAGTGTTTTGCAGCTATCTTTCTAGCTTAATTCATTGTCCCCTGGAAATATCCTTTGTATGATTTCTGTTCTTTTCAATTACCTAAATTACCTAAATTACATTACCATTATGATCCATTATGTGGTTAATCATGGTAAATGTTCCATAACAACTTAAAAAGAATGTGTTTTCTGTTGTTGGATGGAGTAGTCTAGAATGTCAATTAGATCAAATTGATGGATAGTTCTTTGCCAGTAAATTGTGTCTTCACTGATATTCTGCCTGCTTGACCTACGAATTACTGTATGAGGGGTGTTAAGGTCCACCACTGTATAGGTAGAGTTGTCCATTTCTCCTTTCGTTTCCATCAGTTGTACCTTATGGATTTTGATGCCTTGTTTCTCAGTGGATAGATGTTTAGGATTTTTATGTCTTCTTGGAGAACTGACTTCTTTATCATCATGTAACACCGTTCTTTACCCATGAAAATTTTCCTTGTCTGAAGTCTGATTTGTCTGAAACTAATATAGCCACTTCAAACTTATTTTGCTTAGAGTAAGCATGATTTATTTTTCCTCTTGCCTTTTGCTTTTCACATTTCTGATTAAATTTAATGTGTGGTTTTTTTTTTTTTTGGTAAGCAATATAGAGTTAGGTTTGTTTTCAATCCACTCTGACAGTCTCAGTCTTTTAATTGGTATATTAAAATCATTCTCAATCAAGTGAATATTGGTACAGTATAGTTGGATTAATATCTGCCATGTTTGTTACTGTTTTCTATTTATTGTGGTTTTAAAAATCTCTCCTCTTTTTCTGCTTTCTCTGGTTTTAATTGCACCTTTTCTATGACTGTGTTTTATCTCCTCTACCAGCATATCAATTACACTGAAATGTTTTGTTTTTGTTGCCCAAAAGTGTATAATACACATTTTTAACTAACTTAAGTCTACCTTCAAATAACACCATACTGATTCAGGCACAGGTGTCTTGTAACAGAATGCTTCCAATTCTTCCCTCCTGTACCTTGTAACATTGTTGTCATGCATTTCATTTTTTCCATATACCACAAGAATAAGAATCCAGTATATTGTTACTATGATTACTTTAAACAAACAGTTATTATTTATTTTATTTTACTTTGAGTTCTGGGACATAGGTGCAGAATGTGCAGGTTTGTTACGTAGGTATACATGTGCCATGGTGGTTTGCTGCACCTATCAACCTGTCATCTAGGTTTTTAGCCATGTGTGCAGTAGGTATTCATCCTAATGCTCTCCCTCCTCTTGTCCCCCGTCCCCCAACAGGCCCCAGTGTGTGATGCTACCCTCCCTGTGTCCATGTGTTCTCATTGTTCAAATCCCACTTATGAGAACATGAGGAAAACCAGTTATTTTTTAGATCAATTAAGAATGAGAAAAATGAAATATTTTGTTTTACTCTCGTTTATTCCTTCTATGATGAACTTTCTTCCTTAGGCAGATTGTAGTTTCTGGCCTGTATTATTATCTCACTGCCTCAAGAACCAATTTGAACACTTCTTGCAGGGCAGGTCTGCTGGCCCTGAATTATCTCAGTTCTGGTTTGTCTGAGAAAGTCTTTATCCTTCCTTTCTGAAAGATAATTTCACCAACCTAATATCCTATAGGTTAGTATTTTTTTTTTCTTTTCAACATTTTATTTTATTATATTTTGAGATGGAGTTTCACTCTTGTCACCCAGGCTAGCGTGCAATGGTGTGATCTCGGCTCACTGCAACCTCCACCTCCCAGATTCAAGTGATTCTCCTGCCTCAGCCTCCCGAGTATCTGGGACTACAAGTGTCACCCACCACACCAGGCTAATTTTTGTATTCTTCGTAGAGACGGGGTTTCACCACATTGGCCAGGCTGGTCTTGAACTCCTGACCTCAGGTGATCTTCTTGCCTTGGCCTCCCAAAGTGCTGGGATTACAGGCTTGAGCCACTGTGCCCAGCCCTTTTCAACATTTTAAATGTTTCACTTCATCTTTTTTTCTTTCATGGCTTCTAAAAGTCCTCCGAAATTCTTACTTGAATTCCTCTATAAGTAAAGTGTTCTGTGCCATCTCCAAGTTTATTTCAAGATTTTCCTCTTTGTCTCTGATTTTCTAAAGTTTGAATACGGGATGCTTAGGTGTAATATTTTGATACTTACCTTGCTTATTGTTCTCTGAACTTCCTAGATCAATGGTTTGGTCTCTGTCATTAATTTTGGGAAATTCTCAGCTATTATTACTTTAAATTTTCTTCTGATCTGTTTTCTTTTATCTTTCCTTCTGGTATTTCAATTATGCATATGTTATATCTGTAGAAATTGCCCTACAATTCTTGAATATTATGTTTTTTTTTTAATTTTTTTTCTCTTTGCATTTCAGCTTAGGAAGTTTCTATTTGGCTGTCTTTAAAATCACTGATTCTTTTCTTTAAATAAGAAAAGGTTTATTGACACATATTATCTGACATATACTAACTGCTCAATGACTAGCTGCTAAATACTTTAATCATATTTTTAACTGCTATATATAGTATTCTGCCATATTAACTTGTAACATTTTACATATCCATTACCAACACAAAAAACATTTTTCCCTTAAAAAATTTCTGCAATAAAAATAGTGATTTAATGAGCATCTTAGCCTCTTCTACAAACAAAGGAGTTTTTCTAGGGCATATGCATAGAAGTAGATTTGTTGAGTTATGCGCCTACAAATTTCAATTAGACTAGATACTATTAAATTCATTCCAGCATGGGATGCCAATTTCCACCAACGTGTAGGATATTAAGACAGGTCTTGATTTTCTGCAGCCTCAACATTTTAAAAAATTATGATTAGAAAAAAAAAAAACCACATAATGTAAAATTTCCATTTAGACCATTTTTAAGTGTACAGTTCAGTGTTGTTAATGACATTTACATTGTTGTGCCACAGATACCCAGAACTTTTTCATCATTTCAAACTGAAACGCTATACCCACTAAACAACTGCATGCCGTTCCCCCTTTCCTCCAGTCCCTGGTGGCCGCCATTCTACTTTGTGCTTTATGAATTCGAGTACTTTAGATACCTCATATAAATGAAATCGTACACTAGTCCTCTTTTGGTGGCTAGAAACATTTCCTTCTAGTTCTTTCTTTGAGTTTTCATCTCTGCTTCCATTAGTTATCTGTTACATATTGCCTCCTTTTTCCGTGAGAGTTCTTAACATATTAATTATAGTTATTTTAAATATGCTGTCTGATAGTTTTTAATTCTGTGTGATGATTAATATAAAGTATCAACTTGATTGGATTGAAGGATGCAAAGTATTGTTCCTGGGTGTGTCTGTGAGGCTGTTGCCAAAGGGGATTAACATTTGAGTCAGTGGACTGGGAGAGGCAGACCCACCCTCAATCTGGGTGGGCGCCATCTAATCAACTGCCAGTGGGGCTAGAATAATGCAGGCAGAAGAAGGTGGAAGGAATGAACTTACTGAGTCTTCCAGCCCTCATCTCTTTCCTGTGCTGGATGCTTCCTGCCCTTGAACATCTGACTCCCAAGTTCCTCGGCTTTTGGACTCTTGGACTTATACGGTGGTTTGCCAGGGGCTCCTGGGCCTTCACCCACAGACTGAAGGCTGCACTGTCAGCTTCCTTGCTTTTCAGGTTTTGGGACTCGGACTGTCTTCCTTGCTCCTCAGCTTGCAGACGGCCTATTGCTGGGCTTCACCTTGTGATCATGTGAGCCAATATTCCTTAAACTCCCCTTCATATATACACCTATCCTATTAGTTTTGTTCCTCTAGAGAACCCTGACAAATACATTGTATGTTACTTAAGTCTAGTTGTAATGTTTGCTTTGTCTCTTAAGAAGTGTATTTTCTTGCCTTTATCATGCTTTGTCATTTCTGTTGTTCTTAGAAGGTAATCAGAAATGAGGTCAACAGGATGAATCCCACTGTTATGTTGCTAGAGCCCTTCTGGTGTGGTGTTAAGATGTGCCCCTGGCATTTTAAATTTGGTAAAACCCTGGAAACTGAAGATAAAAAAGAGAAGACCAGCTCTGCATGGTGGTGTCTAATGGAAAAATGAAGAAGCACCAGACAAGTGTCTGTATGGGGGATTGGGAGCCAAAATCTGCCCAGCACCTCCTGTCCTAATGCTGTGCTCTGCCTTTTGATTTTTCTAAGGCTCATGCTCATGAACTCAAATAATAAAATAATTGTGAGTTGAGAGAACTGTTTCTGTGATACCTGCTGTTTTTAAAAAGTGTCTGTTTATGTTGTATAAATGAACTGACATATTTATGAATTTAGGTGTGCAAGAAATGTAACTTTATTTTTTGGTACCTGAACACAATTTCTATGTTGAGTTCCTTAATTTCTGAAACCTAATGCTTGACAACTCAAGGTGTCCTCATTCTATCCTTTATTTCTCAGAGGATGCCCTAGGTCTAATGATTTATGATTTTTGCAGTGCTTCTCTGGGCTGGTAGCCACTGAGCCGTCTTTAATTCTGCCTATTCTTTAGGTGTTGGCATGCATCTTCACAACTATGTTCTTCAGTGATCTCATCCTCAGTTTTATTTTCATTTTTATTTTTATTTATTTATTTATTTTTTGAGAGGGAGGCTCACTCTGTCCCCCAGGCTGGAGTGCAGTGGCGCGATCTCGGCCCACTGCAAGCTCCGCCTCCCATGTTCATGCCACTCTCCAGCCTCAGCCTCCCGAGTAGCTGGAACTACAGGCGCCCGCCACCGTGCCCGGCTAATTTTTTGTATTTTTAATAGAGACGGGGTTTCACCGTGTTAGCCAGGATGGTCTCGATCTCCTGACCTTGTGATCCGCCCGCCTTGGCCTCCCAAAGTGCTGGGATTACAGGCATGAGCCACCGCGCCCGGCCTCATCCTCAGTTTAATTATCTCTTCATCTGACTAATCTTCTTTATAGTTTCATGCTATTTGGGGGAGATGGGAAACATGTTTTTGCAGCAGTCTGGGCTACAGGAAATTGTTGGAGGTTGTCCCAGGCCGTTCTAGCCTGCTGCTCCCTTGCCGGGCTTGAGGTTGCGCTGCTTCCTGGGGCTTCAACAAGAGGGACATGTGAAGCTCTACTATGCCCTCAGGTTCCCCAGGCCTGTCTAGAATGTTCTCTTCTCACACTGGACCTGCCTTACAGTGGCCTTGGAGTGGACCTGGAGCTCAGACCTCAAGTCAGCGATGCTGCTGAATATTCAAGCTTCCTGTCCTTCCACACTTGTTTGTTCCTCTCATGATGTGGGGGATTTTTTCTATTGTGAAAAGTGGGGAAAGTTTTCACATACTTGCTGACTTTTGAGATTTAAAATCCAAGAACTGGCTCTTTTATGTTCAGTATTCTACCATGAAAATCTTTTCTTGGCAATCACCTTCACTTGAATGTCAAAAGGGGGTAATAAGGAAATATCAGGAAGGAAATGTGCTTTGGTCAATATGAAACATATTTTTCCTCCAGATTTGTCAAGTGGATTGCTACAGCTCTGAAACAGTCGCTGCTGTTTCGACCTATGGATAATTAGAACATTAAAATGCCCAATGTGACATATAATTATGAGAAGGAAGGACACAGAAAGTTCAGAGAAGCCATGCATGAAGAGTGTGACTTAGATTGAAATGATGCTTTTGAATTTTTTTAATGGATCACTATTTTTATTCCTGAGATGGGGTGAGTGTGTGTGGAAGTTGTAAGTCGAGGGCAACAGAAATTCTGAGAAATGGTGAAGCAGCCATAAAAATGAAGGGGAAAGTTTAGACGAAGGGAAAACCACTTGCTCTGAATTGTAAGTAATGTGGACTAGCAACTGTCAGGAAAACGGTTAAACTAATAGTGGATTCCATTTCCATGTGCCTGCAGAGGCTCAGGTGCTTGAGCTGGCTCTTCATATAATGATTACAAAAATAACACATGCTACCACTTTCCTGTGTGCCAGCCATTTGGCTGAATGCCTCACATGGGTTAATTAATTTATTTTCACAGCCTGAGAGAGGTTAAATAAATAACCAAACAGCACAGGTAGCTGGTGCAGCTGGCTTTGGACCCAGGTCTGCCTGGCTCCAAGGCCTGCAGTAGTGGCCTGTGAGCTGCATTCCTGGCTGTTGTCATGGTGATGCAGATGGACTGTCCTGTATGTGGGACCCATGCGCTACCTCCCATGGGGGGCGTGGTTACCTGTATGTGAGGTTTTAACCTATCTGCAAAGAGCATATCTGGGTTTTCAAGCAGCAGAGACTGTAAAACTATGTTTAGACAGTATAGGGCTGAAGAAAGCATCCTGTGATATGTGTTCTCCAGAGGAGAGCAAATTGGTTGACTGTTATTTTTATACTTTGACCTTGTGAGTTTTAGTTTTAATTAATAATTTGACAAAATCTGAATAAGGATTTCCAAATTTTTAAGGGGAAAATTCTTTCCATTCCTGTTGTAGATTTCACTGACCATTAGTCTTTTAACTGCCGTATTTCCTCCTGTTTACAATGAGCCCCTATGTAACAGATCAAAATGGCAGAGTTTCAAGAACAAGAACTTAACTGCTACTCAAATGTGAGTTGGGGTATGTAGTGTTTGAAATATTTTTCACTTGCTGTTAATAGCTGTTACGTGGTTCCTGTGTCCAAATACTAAGTGCATTTGCTCATAGATGTTCGCATATAAAGAATGAGATCTGGGGATGCTGAAGTCAATGCCATACTATCGTTAACAAATTTATGTTTTCATAACTTTGCTACTAAGCTTAAAGATGTGTTCCCTTCTTTTTATTCTCAGAACATTATGAAGCTTTTTAAAAACAGATATGTATCATAGCATGTGAAGCAAAATTATCCCTGGAATCTAATAAAATTAAAAGAGAGTTTAGTAAAGTGGGAAAAACAATGGTTTAAAATTGAGGTTCCTGGATTCAAGATCTGTCAATGCCCAGCCATGCGATCTTCATTTTGGACATTTTAATTCCCTTTCCAGTTAAAAAATGAAGAAGTTTACCTAGACAACCTATAATCAAGCTCTTAGTTTTAAGACTTACAATTTTCTATAAAGAAATACACTGGGAGAAAGTAGAAAACACCTGACTCCTGGGTTTGAGAACCAGGCCTCTTATCTCTGGGCTGGGTAGCTTTGGGTGAGGTATATACTTGACTGTCCTCAAAGTTCATTAACGAGTGGCAGAGTAGAGTGGGCAGGGGTTGAGTGCCCTTTAGATGCTAAAATTGTAAAAGTATATCATTCTTCTATGGCTATTCCATTTCTTTTTCTCAGATATGGAATTTCTTATTATGGAATTTTTTGAGATATGGAATTTAATTATAATATTATTGTTTATTATTAATTATTGTTATTATTAATTATTATTTATTATTTAATATTAAATATGTGTTTATATTTCTGTAAACTGTTCATTTTAAACTCTAGATTAACCATGTGAGTCTCTTACACAGGAATGACCGTATTCCTTTTAGTAGTTCACATAATTTTAAATATTTGAGTTCCTACAATTTCACACATTTTAACTCCACGTTTTAACTCATGCACACTCAAGCGGATGTGTGAGCACATACATGTGTGCGTGTGTGTGCGTGTGTGTTTTTGGCAATGAAAGAAATTTGGACATTTTTGTGGTGTGGGTCAAAAACAATTTTTACTGCTATACTTAAAACCAGAATCTAGTAAAACTCTCGGCATCTAAAAATGAATCTCTTTTTTTCCCTACATGACCAATAAGTAAGACTGATGAAGAGTTCCTACTCTCTCAGGATTAGTAAGGGTAACGTGATGCTAATTTTTAAGATGGTCTATATGCCATAATAGGGTGTTATTGTGAACAGGAGGAAATATGGCAGTTAAAAGACTAATGGTCAGTGAACTCTAGAACAGGAATGGAAAGAATTTTCCTCTTAAAAATTTAGAAATCCTTACTCAGATTTTGTCAAATGTTTTGACCAAATGTTTATAAGCTTTAAATAAATACGAAGTATAGAAGCATAGTACTGAATACCTGAAATATCTTTCTGATTTTTTTTTTTTAATACATGGGTTCAAGGAACATTTCTTAGTAAATAAAAGTTGGAATAAGTTCATCATTTATTATATAGAGGTAGTAGCTGCTGTATTTTTCATAATCACAGTTAGCATTTGTGGTTAAGCCCCTAAATTCATGTTTTTCTCTCTGAAAGGGGTTTTTAGGAATAAGTCACCCACTTTGTCAGTTCTGCCTGGCCTGATCTCCATGCCTCATGTTCCCTTTTGGGGTGATCCTGTGAGATGCATGGTGCTGGCGGGTCTGGGAATTCAGGAGGGCCTTGGGGTGTGTTCCCTACACACCTCACTATGCTCTTCCACTCTGACCTATATGAGAGAGCAATTTAATGTGAATCTATTTTGAATAAAATAATTAAAGCAAATGTGTTTTTAGAGAAGTTCATTAATGACAGCTGGAAATCTATAATATAAACACAAATATTTACTGTGTGGCTTTCACTGTTCTAGGAGCTGAAGGCGGAAAATAATAAAATTCTTGACCGTATAGAGCTTACATTTTCATAAAAATGATGGCACACTAGACAACTAAATCTAGACTATTTTAGAATCTTAACCTTAGATTATTCATGTTGATTCATGTGTTCTTTCATTTCTTAACTCATTCAACAAATATGACAAAGGATAACACAGCTCAGGGTAGGAACATTTAATTGGTAGGCAAAAGACTTAGAATTCTGCCCTGAATCAAATCACTTATTGGGTGTAGTAGTGATTGACACATTCCTCACACGCCTGCTGTGACAATCTGGGCTGGGCTTGTCAGGGAGGTTCTTCCGCTCTTGTGGATCTCTCATGCATGCCTGGTGGCTGGCTGGGTACTGGCTTATTTAATGTGGCCCCATTGTAGACAAATGGCTCTTCCTCCAGCAAGCTAGACCAGGTATTTTTCATGGAGTGGGGGATTCATTGCAAAGTGGGTTCTTTTCTCCAGCCTTTCCTGTTTCCAAATTGTTTGAAATGTGACTGTGGAGTCCCTTTAATCAAGAGATTGAATGAATTTCCCCGTTTCCAAAGTCTGAAAATAGAATGTGAGGAATCGATGCTGTGCAATCCTCGAGCACTAGGCATTAAGAGGCTGTGCACATGTTTGTGGTATCCCTTGCTTCTCTGCTTTCACCAGCTGTCTTAACTGCGTCCAGACATGTGTGAGAGCCCAGTCCAGATCAGCAAAGTCATGCAACCAATCTCTAGTCAACTCACAACTGATAACAAGGAGATTTGAAAACATGAAAAAGCAGAATATAAAATGGGATATATATTATAATAACTCTTTGTTTTTTATACAAGAGAATACACAAATATGGAAATAATTGCAGAAGGGTGATGGGTTTATGCACCTTTAAAAAATAAATAATATTCTTAATTTTATCATAAACAACAAATGTAAAGTCTTTCCTTATTGCCAAAACATGTGTGCATCAATTTGGAGTAAGTACAATATTTTCCATGAATACAATTTTATTTGGAATTCCATTTTGTTATTTAAAAAGCCTTGCAACACCTAAGTGAACCCCATGATCCCAGTTCAGACCAGTAGAACTGCTCAGTTGAGACCGTAACTGCCCTCCTGGCCCACAGGTGGCTAGTGAAATGAAGTGCTTGTTGTTGTATGCTGCTAGGGTAATTTAGTTGTTTGTTACACATCTGCGTTGCACAATAATTAGCCATTACCTGTGTGGTTTTAGGTAAGTCATCAGCCTCTTGACTGGTGGTGCCTGCCCCTGGACTGCAGACAGCAATGGAAGAGAGGCCCAGGAGAAGGGTCCTATGGCGCTCTCGGGGAAGGTGGTGTGGATGCTCATGTGGGCCCCGTGTGTCCATGGAAGTCTATTTTAGTGATAGAGTGGATGGGAAAACATGGAGGAAATAACATAAACTTGAGTCCAGCCCCCATAGCACCCATATTTGTCAACTGGTCACAGTCTATGTGTTTGAAGTTATTGCCCCTTTAATTTCTCTCTGAATAAGAGTGAGAAAGATGAATGAGAGACAAAAAATAAAAAAGTCAGAGAAAGAGAAAGAAGAGGAAGCTATATATAAGATGTGTAATTTTAAATAAAGAAGAGGAAGCTATATATAAGATGTGTAATTTTAAATAACTGAAATAAACATGAACTTCTCAGGTTTGGTTTCTGTCCCCCCAAGTCCACCATACTGCCCACCACACCAGGTGTATGATGGCTGACACGACAGAGAAGCGGTCCCCAAACTTCTTGGCACCAGGGATAGGGGGTTGGTTTCGGGATGAAACTGTTCCACCTCAGATCATCAGGCATTAGTTAGATTCTCATAAGGAGGGCTCAGTCTAGATCCTGCAGTTCACAATAGGGTTTGTGCTCCTATGAGAATCTGATGCCGGTGCTGATCTGACAGGAGGCGGAGCTCTGGCGGTAATGCTCACTCACCTCTGCTCACCTCCTGTTCTGTGGACCAGTTCCTAACAGGCCATGGACCAGTACTGTGGCCTGGGGGTTGGAAACCCCTGCCATAGATCATTGCAGCCTCATTACGCCTAGACTTAAAAGTCATACCCTCAAGACAGATGCTTCATAATGACTCTGATTGAAGTTCTGATTGTACAGTAAGAGGTAGTGTCACACGTACAGAGCTTAATCACATCTTTACGTGGACATTACACAAATAGCCAGGGCAAAAACCTCAACATATTTTCCCTCTTAACACTCTTCCTTGTAATCTGACCTGCAATAGTAGCACTGGCCTGAATTAAATCCTCTGGGCTTTGTGGATCTGATAAGCAACAGTTTCCTTGTTCTTGTTTATACATCTCCTCTTTCCCAGCCAGAGAGAATTCTCTGTTGCTTTCTTACAAAAAAAATGTGCCCCCCTTCTTAGCCTGGCTAGCCTCATTGCATTTCTGCCCTGTCAGTCTTTCATTTTCATTGGCAAAATGGGAAAAATGATATCTGCCTTTTCCAATATTACAGGGCTATTGCAATGATCAAATGAAGTGGTTAAGGTCCAAATGGAGTTAGTATTAAGCACCAGGAACTCTGCAAGATTCCAAGATGATTTGGTCATGGATTCTGTCCTAATAAAGAAGAAAAATGTAAATGATTTATAGATTCGTCCTTAGTTTATCTTTATTTCCCCACCCTGTGAAAGTGGATTAATAACAAAAATAGACTGTTTGTGGTGAATTATCTTTGATAATTGCCCCTCATGCTAGAAAATAGAACCAGGATCAGTGACACTGGTGAGCAGCTGTCTTCCTCTAGAAAAACCTTTGCTCTATCATCAAACAAGGCTTACAATTTAAAAAGGGAAGAAATCATTTCATTAAAGAAAGAAGCATGAGTCAAAGGCCTTTCTTGCAGACTTCAAACTGTTAAAGGTAACTAGAGGTGACTGACCAAATTAGGTCAGGCAATAAATGAGAAATATGTTTAATCTTAGCACGATTTTCCACTCTGTTTTCTGTTTTGTTTCATAGGTGGAGGGTAGTTAAATATATGTCTACTTTGAGTTTGAAAATACACTTTAGGAATTGTATCTTATCAGTAAGTGCTTTACAAACACCATTTATTATCTGATTTGAAATATTGCTAATCTATTTGAACAATCCCGTTTATCAAAAGTATGTCAAGGAAATTTTGTGCCATATATGAATATATATATGTAAAAGTTTTCTCAGTGTTGTTAAAAATAGTAATAAGTTGAATTCAGCATAAATATCCAGCAACAGAGGATTTTTAAGATAAAATATGACACATCCAAACAATGAAATGCTGTGTAGCCACTAAATAATTTCTATGGAAATCTTTTTGGTTGGTATTTTTATATCTTTTTCCTATGTATTAATACTGGAACATAATGTTAAAAGTGCTTTTCTCCAATAATGGGATTTTAAGTAATCTTAATGTATTTATTATGCTACAGGTAATATTTTCTGTAGTTTCAAAATTAAAAAAATATGTAACATAAAAATACAAATACCACTAAAGATAAGGAAAGAATTGTTCTTAATAACTGCAATAAAGAAAAGTCATACAAATGGCATTAATCTTTTCTGCAGCTCTGCTTACTTGCTAATAAAACAACCAAATAAAATAGTTGTTGCATATAGTAGAAGCAGAGAAAGACAAAGCTTTTATTCTAAATGGAGCCAAACTTGGCCTAGCCCAATCTGCACATGCGTACTTGCTTGGCACATAGCCTTGCTTCACAAGTCCTCTTGGCATTGTAAATATCATGGTTCTCTTTTCAAGGACACTCTGTGTGAGAAGCACTTTCTTGGCACTGGACACTAAATAATTATTAACTGACATGTTGCACTTAATAGTTTGTGGTCTCAGCTCTTGTTTATATAAAACGTTTGACCACAGCTCTAAAACACCTCATCGTGTAGGTGGGGAACTTGTCATAGGAACTCAGATGGTAGGACCCGTTGGCTGGTTACTGCTAGCCCTTGCCAGCTTTGTCCTCACTGGCTGCCAACACCCCCCGCCCCCGGGACCCTGCTACAGACACCAGGTACTCCTATTTAGAGCTGGTCATGGATAAGGAAAAGGCAGATTTGGCCACAGGATCTCAAAACATAGAGCCACTTTATGTAGAAAAATCTCTTGAACCTATCAGGAGTACCAGTTGAGCAAAAAGTGACTCATGATTAGATATATCTGAGGATGGCAAAGGGGCAAGTGAGAGAAGCTGGATTAAGTTATCCCCCAGTGAAGAATATTACTTGTGTTAACAAAGTGTAAATTTTCTGACACGTGACTTGCAAAGGAAAATGTGATTGATTAGCTGAAGAACTCCCGAAGATTGTAGCAAATCTTTAATAGTGTAATAACCTTTGAAGATTTTTTGAAGGAACACATACAGAAGAAGAGGAAGAAAGTTCTCCCAAGTTTGACTCAGGTACATCATGTGGTGCTACCATTCACTCCTTTATATGGTGGCCTCTATATTTGCTTTGGTCTCCCTACATTGAATGCATTTTGTTGCAATTTGCTTTTATATCAATTTATAGAAAACTTCTGAAAGAATTCCCTACATATGCTGCCTCTGCTGATTTCCTCCTGGATTCTCAACAAAACTGAGGCCGATCTCTATACCTTATCACATAACCATGGGACTGGAAATGCTTCCTCAGAGGTAACTAATGATTTTCTGATTATTCCGCTTCTTTTCATTCTTTCTCGTATTCAACTTTCCCATATCAACTTACAATTCTGATCGTACTTTTCTTCATGAAACTCTCTTTACTTTGGTGTATAAAACTCTGGTTTTGTTTTTTTCAGTTCTTCTCCTCTTCCCTTTTCCCCGTCTTTCCTTTCAACATACCTTTTAAGTGGCACTGTCCTTAGATTTCGGACTCTAGCTTCTTCCCTTTCCACATTGTGTATCTCTCCAGGTTAGCTCAGCCTCTCTCTTGACTTCACATCTTCATCTCATAAGTGACAAGTATACACCTGTGACCCAAGCTTTCTTGTGACACCATGTGAAAACTTTCATCTGCCTGCATGACATTTCTACCAGGACATTCCACCACAGCTCAGAATAGATCTGTCACCCTCCCTAAAATGTATTGCTTTGCTCGCAGTCAGTATCTCAGCCAGTGGCACCCCCACCCTGAGGCATCCCTTCTGTGGGATGAAAACATCCCACAGCCATCTCTCTTACAATCCCATCTTTTCACTAACTCTGGTTCATTTTAATTCTGATATGGTCCTGGTTTTATCTGCTTCTTTGCTCATTACGAAGCCCGATTTCTAACCATTATCTGTTTTCATCTGGATTACTACTAAAGCCTTTGGTTTCATCTTTCTGCCTACCCTGTACTCCCTCCTCAAACGAGAAGTGCAATTGCTCCAATATATTTCCCACACAAGGCCCAATCATGTCACTCTTCCCACACACTTTTCTGGTTCCCTGTTACCTGTAATATATAGCATAAACTCTAGCTGGGCCCTCCTTCAGAGCTCTTCCTGCTGGTACCCCGCCTCCCCACCCCTCCTGTGTTGCTCCTTCACTTGTGTGCAACTTTGTCACCCCATCCCATTGCTCATGTCCTCCCCTCTACTTAAAATACCATTTCCTTTTTCCTCCTTTTCCTACTTCTTCTAATTCAATTCAACCCTTCTTGACCTAAGGCAGTCAACTGGGGACCAAAAAAAAATACTGGTACTCAGAGAATGTGGTCTGAGTGTATTTAATATGCTGATTCAGACATTTGGTAATTCCTGGAATTGCAAACTACTTTCTTAAGTAAAACTATCTCATGATATTTGTTAGCTGTTCCTGTGGGGGAAAGCAAAGAACATCATTGAGTAACATGAAAACGGAAGGAAAATGACAGAGAATGACAAAACCAATGTTCCTTAATGTGACCATGTGGAATGGAATGTCTTTTGGTATACAATGCATCTTTGAGCACAGCCATGGGGATTGCTGTGGTCAATAGACTTCTCAATAGAAAGTAATCAGAGCCAGTTTTCCTAAGAATTATTTTCCAAGGAATTTCCCTTACTACAATCCAGGTTTAAAAATAACTCACAGAAACAGACAAAGGGGAAAAGGGAGAAGTTTATCATCCATAAACAAATGTAAAAACCAACAAATTTGTAAGAACAAGTCAACTAAACCTAAATGCAAAATAGTATGCTAAATTTGAGAGAGATGCATATAGAGAGTAAGAGGTAATTGGAAGCAGATATTCTGAGGGTCAGATTTCTTTTGGCCAATTGCTGAAGAAATATACCATTTCAGTCCACTTGGACCCAGTTTTGCTCTCCAAAAACTAGAAGATCTTTAAGTATTATTTCAGCTTTAACATACCATGAGTATTAACTTAATTCAATGCAGTGTGTCTCTAGTAACTGATGTGCTCAGGACGAATATCTGCCTGAGATTTAGAGATAAATTAATCTTGGGCCTTTTACCTTTAAGTAACCACTCTGTAGTGAGAGAGAATGACACATACATGTTATATTCCCTCACAGAGGGTAGACTGTGGTTGGGGATATACCAGGCATACACAAACGCAGAAAGGAGCCAGCTGAGATGGCAGAGCAAGGATGAGAAATGAGCCATTTTCAGAGCACATCTGTTTGTGACACCCACATCAGTCTAGTGACTGAGTCTCTAGTGGTGAGATCTGGGGCTCTCCTGGTCCCTGTGGCATGCAGTGTCGTTTAAATCAATGACTTCAATAAATGCATATCAAGATGCTGTAGTAAATGCAATGGAAGTGTATAAGCTTGTCATAAATATGATGGAAATACATTAGCTTGCTAGGTACTTAACAAAGTACCACGGCCTGGGTGACTGCAGCAACAGAAATTTATTCTCTTTCAGTTTTGGAGGCTGAAATCTCCAAGATCAAGGTGCTGGCAGGGCTGGTTCCTTGTAAAGCCTCTGTCCTTGGTTTGTAGATGGCTATCTTCTCGTTCTTTTCACATCTTCTTTCTGTGTATATGTGTCTAAATCTCTTATTTTAATAAACGTGCTAGTCATATTGGATTAAGGTGAAGCCTAATGATCTTATTTAACTTGATTACCTCTTTGAAGACCCTGTATCCAAATAAGAACATATTCTGAGGTACTGGTGGTTATAAATTTAATGTATGCATTTTTTTGGTGAGGAGCACAATTTAACCCATAGCATCTAGTGTAAGAAAAAATAGACTTGTGTTTTGTTCATAATAAATGGAACCACTACCCTGTGAATAGTGAGGTGGAGTAATTAAGCACACCTGGATACAGATGCCAGCCCTCTATGTATTAGCTATATGTCCCGTGATGCTGCTGAGATTGGAGAGCTTCAGTTTATTATCTGTAATATGGGAGTAATAATTCTAACATCAGACATTTAGGAATTCTAAATCTAACATCTCAGAAATCAGGAGGAACAAAATACTGGGATACACAGAATAACATTTAACTTCATCAGGAGCACAGAGTAACCCCTTATTTGTTATCTTGAAGGCACAAAGTTGAGAACCATTAAGTCAGATATGATAGAGTTAATTAAGAAGAAATGGAATAATAGAAAATTTTTCTTGATTTAATGATTGGTAATTGAAACCTTGTCAGTACTTAATTTTCCTCGATCTTTTATGGATAATTCATGTGAAAGAGTTATTTACCACCGGTAATGACTCAACACATACCAGTGGGAAATAAACACTGAATTCTTTTTACTTGTCTCAGCATTGTGTGTTTGACTCATTCCCAAGGACATAAACAGGATTTAATTTGGAAAAAAAGAAGGATTTTTTAAAACCCTAGGGACTGTGATAACTTGCATTTATTTATTTCATTTGGCTTTGCATTGTCTCCTTAAGTGAGCATTCTACTCCTGTGTGTAATGGGTAGGTGCTTTCAACTCTAATTCTTACCACTGGCTATTTTGACTGAAATTTTCATAAATACATTGCGATTCAATTTTTTTGAAATACTTCTTGACAAATTTTTCTGTTCATGTCATTCCAAATTTTATTTGCTTTCTCCACTCCCATTCTGTGGCAAAATACATATACTTAAAAGAACATCTAATTTGAATATGTTCTGAAACAAATCATAAAAGCTAAGATGCACAATGCATATTGCGCATAGAACCCATGCACTAGAGTGAAGTGGATATTTTTCTAACAATCATGGCCAACACTTATCCATTTTTCCCCCTGTGTATCAGGCATTTCTAAAGGATGGATCTTATATCTTAGTTTTATGTGAGAAAACAGGTTATGTGTGCCAGTTCACCAGCTGGGAGATTATGTAAGCAAGGTTCAAACCCAGTTTGCTAAATCTAAAATTGATGCTCTTTAAACTCCATTAAGCTTGACATCCACTTAGTAGATTAGAAGTAACTATGTGAGGGACTTAGAAGTTTCTGGAAGGAAAAAGAAGCTTCAAAATGAGCACAGCCCTGCAGAAAGTAGTGCTGGTCTTTGGAGAGATGATTATGAGTGCAGGACTATCTGCCAGACGAGCTGTATGACATTTGACGACTCTGAGTGCTGTGGAGTGCAGGGTGGAGCAACATGAGAAAAATCTGTAATAAGAACACTTGAATTTAAAAAATGTGTAGTGCATTTGAGGCAAAAAGAATATTTTTGTGACAACACTACCTCAGACAGTGTTTCAGAGGGTGAGGGGAGTCCCCCTTATCATTATCCACCATGCACTTTGGACTCTGAGGGCTCTGCTCCTGTGGCACTGTTGGTTGCCTTTCTAATTTTCTCACGATTCTTTGCTAAAGAACCTTGATTCTGTGAGAGACAGGAACGCGCCCAGCCCCCAGGCAATGCATCATGATTGATTTGGACTCATTATGACTAGTAATGACAGCCTCCTTTCTCTTTGTCAGATTCTTAATTTTAGAGCTTTCCTGATGCTCAACAAGATTTTTGTTTCTTCTCATTCCCAGCACCTCGTTCATGACTGGTATATCTGTGTCATACTTTTATCAAAACAAGATATTGTTCTTCATGCTATTAAGCAATCTTTCCTTAAATTTCTTCCTGTCTTATCATGATCACTGCTTATCATCTCCTTAATTTTCTTTTTCTGCATCTCTGTTATATTTTATGTTTTCCATGTCATTTTGTTTCATACATATATCTTTCTCTTATATTTAGTAATATATATCTTGTGTATATATTTGAAATGGCATCTAGTAGAATATATATCTAATAAAATGTATTCTGCCATGGGATTTGTTCGAATCCAATGAGATTCTTTAACCTTTTACACATAGAACTTAAAGCAATTATTTGACATAGTGGATAGAATCAATCACATTTTTGGGAAATAACTTTCTTTCAAAGGACAACAAACAAAATGCATTAAATACATATTTTAAGTCGTATTAAAAATCCAAGATCAAAAATGTAGTGAGGATGTACTGAATTTTGTTTTGGGGCAGGGGAAAGTAATGGAGTGTATGTTTGCCTCTTGCCTGAAACAAAACAAATTAGCAAAACATATAAAACAATGTGTTTTAAGACACTGAATATCAGGCACTAAATGACCATCATCTCTGAGAGATAGGAATAGAACAAGGTGAGCCCTATAATTTCTCTAGCTTACCGCCTTGAGAGGGTTTCCAGGATTAGGGGCAGGAAGAGGGAACCCAGACAGCCTAGTGGAGT